AGTGCCCTATAGGGTTTGCTATGCTTTAGTATTTATGGGAGCAGATGGCCAGGGCTTTTCTCCTGTAGAGTGACCAGGTGGGTTCAAATCAACAAACTTTTAGTTAGTGGCTGAGTATTTAACCATTGTGCCATCAAGAATCCTTGAGAACCAGGCAATCCATTGTAAATTGGAGAACAATAAAAGGGTAAATAAATCACAATATTGCTTGAAATTCCTTCCAGTTCATTGTTTCCTCTTGTGTAGAATTCCATTTATTTATTAGTCTATCCCTAACACCTAGAAAATGGAACATATAGTGAGCCCTTAAGTACAGTTAGTAGGCATCTGTTCTCTGTACATGGGGTCACCATGAGTTGGAATTGACTCCACGGCATCTAAGAACAATCTAAGATATGTAGAGCTCTCTCTCTGCCTCTAAATCATGAGTAGGTTTTTAGGCTCTGAGGAGTTGGAAAACTCTTTTAGACTCTTTAGGAGTTTAAGAGTCTGCAAACTACGTCCTGCCTGCAAACCAGTCACATATTTTTGTAGACAAAGCTTTATCAAAACACAGCCCTGTTAATTCATTTACATATTGTCTATACCTGCTTTTCCTACAAATTGTTCTTTTTGGATACCGTGGAACTGATTGTGATTGTTCAATAGGGTTTCCTAGGTTGCAATCTTTATGGAAGTAGCTCACCATGTCTTTCTCTTACAGAGCCATTGAGTGAGTTTGAACTGCTAATCTTTTGGTCAACAGCTGAGCACTTAACCATTATTCCATCAGGACTCTTTTTTCCTACAAGGGCAGAGTAAATAGAAGTGACAGAGTTTATAGGGTGTGCAAAATCTAAAATACTTGCTATCTGGCCCTTTATAGGAAAACTCTGCCAATGCTTACATTTAAAATCTATTTATTGCCTTTTATGACCAACCTAGAGGTGACATATTACCTGGTTAAAGAACAAATGCACCATGACAAATGTTTATACATCAACAAAATGCTAACCCAGTCATGAAAGTCTAATATTGTATTAACAGATTGACAGGCTTACCACATATGTAAATTAGCAAACATAAGTAATAAAAAATTATATTTCTGTGGCACTTTATGGGAGCTCTGGTGGTGTAGTGCCTAAAGCACTTGACTGCTAACTAGAAGGCTGGTGGTTCAAACCCACTAGCCACTCCTTGGAAGGAAGATTGGGCAATCTACTTCTGTGGTGATACTGCCTTGGAAACTCAAGGAGGGGTTGCTATGAGTCAGATCCGACTCGATGGCAGTGAGTTTTTTTTTTTTTTTTTTTGGTTTGGTTTTTGGCACTTTATAGATTGGGAAATGTTCTGTATATGTTATCTCATTTGATCTTTCCAATAACTAGAAATTAGGCAGGGCAGGTATTATTTTTCCATGAGGAAACAGATTCAGAGACATCACATGATATCTGAAGGTTACAAGGAACTCAGATTTAAATGGTTTCTTGTAGCAAGTAAAATGATTTCCTTTATCTCTAGAAAATGCTTACCTGTTTTTTCTTTTTTAAAGATTATTAACATTTATCTTCTTAAGATGTACTGATTTGACTTGAAATAATATATTAGAAGATCACTTGAATTCAATGGTACTTTGAAGTAATAAGTTCTGTCTTCTTCTAAAAAAAACCAAGATATCCTTCTGTCTTCTTAACCAAAAACCTCACTGCCATTGAGTTGGATCCAACTCATAGTGACCCCTCCTTGGGTTTCCGAGGTGGTAACACTATGGAAGTAGATTGTCCAACCTTCCTTCCAAGGAGAAACTGATGGGTTTGAACAGCCAGCCTTGTGGTTAGCAGTCAATGCCTTAGGCCCTACACCACCAGAACTCCTGCATGGTAGTCTACTGATGTAAATCCTTACAGCCTTGGAAGTCCTATGGAGCAGTTCTATGCTGTCCTGTAGGATAGCTATGAGTTAGAATTGGTTCAATGGCAATATGTTTGGGTTTCTTGGTTTGGTCTTCTTAATGTTGTATTTTTATGTCAATAAGATGGTAATGAAAGAGACATAAACAATTTATCTAATGGTTTAAAAAGTCTAAATAACTATGAGCCTAATTAATTTAATGAGGAACCCTAGCAGGACATTGGTTGAAGATCTTGGCTGTTAATGAAAGTCAGCAGTTTGAAGCCACCTGCTCCATGGGAGAAAGATGTAGCAGTCTGCTTTGGTAAAAGATTACAGTCTTGGAAGCCCTATGGGGTAGTTCTACTCTGTCCTACAGGGTGTCTATGAGTCAGAATCAACTCAATGGCAATGGGTTTGGTATGTTTTTAGCTGATTAAGTTTAATCTTAAATTTTTCAAATCTCAGAGACTGCAAGACAGGCCAATTAGCTGGATTTCTTAGATTAAGAATATAAATAAATAAATACCCTTTTTGGACTAGCAGAGAAAAATAAGTCATAGCAAAAATATGGGGGTGGTGGTGGTGGTGGTTGTGTGCCATTGAGTCGAACCCAACTCAGCAATCCCTCCCTGGATTTCCGAGGTGTGCTCTGGTAGCATAGTGTCTAAGGCACTTGACTGCTAACCAGAAGGCTGGCGGTTCATATCCACTAGTCACTCCTCGGAAGGAAGGTTGGGCAATCTACTTCCGTAGTGATATCACTTCAGAAACCCAAGGAGGGGTCGCTATGAGCTGGGCCTGACTTGATGGCACATAACAACAACAACAACATCACTACAGAAGTAGATTGCCCAACCTTCCTTCCGAGAGCAAAAATATAAGCCTATACATATTGGGGAAAGTAGTGAAAGGTAGACATAGTAAAGGATCAAATCACACTTAGCTACATATTTCAGTTGGGCTACAAACCTTGATAGATCACTGTTATGGTCCATCTCCTATGTCATACAATAGTTCAACCTCTGACCAAACAATTTATGAAGAACTTCTAGTTGAAGAACATATTGCTACAGCAGTCTTGGAGTAGTATAAGTTAGTACAATGGGACTAACAAAGCACAGTTCTTTGTATTCCTCAGGAGCTTTGTAAACCTGCTTAATAAAGTCTTTTTAGCACTATGGGATGTATGGTATTCCCTGGGTGGTGCAAACAGTTTGTGATCCTTTAGTAAATTAAAAGTTGGGGGTTTAAATCCAACCAGCAGTGCTGCAGAAGAAAATCCTGGTGAACTGCTTCTGTAATGATCACAGACAAGAAAACCCATAGAACATAGTTCTACCCTATAACACATGGGCTTGTCATGAGTCAGAATCAACTTGATGACAATGGGATTGGGTTTTTGTTTATGGGAGGCAGATCAGAAAAATAAAGGCCTAGAATCCTTCCAGGAGAAGGGACCCAGAGCAGAAAAGAACTTACTTCACTCCCAGATTGGGTTTCCCATGAACATGACTCCTTCTCATGATGGAGGACTCCCCTTTGGAAAGAATGGTCTCCCAGGCACGTCTGACACATGGAAGGCTCAAAATCCGGCTCCCCAGGAGGGATGTGTACCACAGAGGGGCCAGTGTACTTCAGACTGGGACTTTGATGCTTGTCCACACTGACCATTGGGTTCTTGATCCATCGTCGTACCTAAAATATGCAAAAGGAAAAAAAAATGTATCTGGTCTTCCTTGTTGTTTATTGGGGCTTTGGTGGGAAATTTAGTGGGATAGTGCATTAACTAAGGGCATGGTGGGGAAATCCCAACTTTGTTGCTAACTGCATGATAAAGAGTGGCATGAATCCAATCCCCAATGTGTGGAAATAGATCTAGTCCTTACTTTCCCATTTCTTCATCATTATCACTAGCCACTCATATAGTACTCTTTCTGTGACCCTAGCCTTCCAGAGCTGGGTCAGAGCTTACAAATTAGATGGGCACCATTTTTCAGATTAGCTGCCCATGGATCCCTTCTTGTATTCTAGCCACTTGCAGCTAGGCCTGAGCTCACACAGTAAAAGACACCTTCTTTCAGACTGCCTAATAGGCAGTCACCAGCCTCTGCTGGCTCTCACTATCCTGGTGGGTTCATTAATTTGCTGGAACGACACGCAGAATATCAGAAAGCATTCCATACTTACAGCTATAATTTCATTACAACCAAAAATGACATAAACAATGCAACACAAAGGTGAGGTCTGGGAAGGGTCATAGTGCAAAGAGGGAGGTTCTACATTCTCCTCTGCATGATTACCAACCAGGAAGCTCATATGAGCCTTAGGGCTCAAGTCTTTTATCACCCTCAACATGTGACCATGATAGATTACATTATGCACCATGAGGCTCAATCAGTATAGCCTTCCAGGTGGTTCCTCTTGGTGTTGCCCCACCCCATTTATTAGCCTCAGGTGTTGGCCTGGTATGAAAGAATGGAGAACAAAGGCCAAAGTGTCTCTTGCAAGGTGATTCCACACCTCCCAGATGGAGACTTAGTAAACAACTCAGTCTTACAACTTCTTTATTATTCATGTCTTAACACGATTTGAATTGGTCATAGCTCGTCAAAGCTGATCAAATATATGTTTTTAAGTTAGTTATTTAATCTCACTGAGTCTATCTTCTCATCTGTTAGATTGGGATAATAATATTTCCTCCTAGATTTGTTGTGAAGATCTTACAATGTTTTTAAATGTCTAAGTTCTTCCCTGGCACATGGTTGTCATTCAATAGATGGCGGCTATTTCACTCCAACTCTTATTATTATGAATATGCTGACAAGATGATAATTTATAAATTTCTAAGGTAGATTGCTAGTTATTCTAATTAGAGAGAATACTAACCCCACAACCTAGGATCTAACTGTTGCTAAGTGAATTAACACATATTTCACTACTGCAAATACTTGATTATAACAGAAGTTGCTTCAGGCTAAGAAATCATCTCAAGTTTGTTTCCACGTTTCTAAAACTCATCACCTGTCTTTCTTGCATGTAGATTTCCTGCAACTTATAGAAAAAAAAAATAGAAAGCTATTCTAATATAAAAGAACTAATATTTATGTATAGCCATGAAACACTGTCTGATATAGTGCTGGAAGATGAGCTCTTCATTTGAAGACACTCAAAATATGACTGCAGAAAAGCTGCCTTCTCAAAGTAGAATTGACCTTACTGACATGGATGGAATAAAACTTTCGGGACCTTCATTTACTGATGGGGCATGACTCAAAATGGGAAGAAACAGCTGAAAACATTCATTAATAATTAGAATATGAAATGCATTAAGTATGAAGTAAGAAAGTTGGAAGTTGTGAAAAATGAAATGGAATGCTTAAAATCAATATCCTAGGCATTAGTGAACCCAAGTGGACTGGTATTGGCCATTTTGAATAAGACAATAATATGAGCTAGTATGCCAGGAATGACACATTTAATAGGAATGGCTTTGCATTCATTGCCAAAAAGGATGCTTCAAGATCTATGCTGAAGTACAATGCTGTCAGTGGTAGGATAATATCCATATGCCTAAAAGGAAGACTGGTTAATATTGCTATTACTCAAATTTACACCAATGACTAAAGGTAAAGCTGAAGAAATTGAAGATTTTTACCAACTTCTGCAGTCTGAAATTGACCAAACATGCAATCAAGATGCATTGATGATTACTGGTGATTAGAATGTGAAAGCTGGAAACAAAGAAGCATCAGTAGTTGGAAAATATGGCCTTGGTGACACAAATGACACTGGAGAATGCATGACAGAATTTTGCAAGACCAATGACTTATCCAGGAACTCTGGTAGAGTAGTGCCTAGTGCATTTGACTGCTAACCAGAAGGCTGGCAGTTCAAACCCACCAGCTACTCATCAGAAGGAAGACTGAGCAATCTATTTCTGTAGAGATACTGCCTTGGAAACCCAAGGAAGGGTTGCTATGAGTTGGATTCAACTCAATGACTGAGTTTTTTTTTTGTTTTTGTTGTTGTTGTTTAATTACTTATTCATTGCAAATACCTTTATTCCAACAACATAAATGGTGACGATACACCTGGACCTTGTCAAATAGAATACACAGGAATCAAATCAACTACATCTGTGGAAAGGTGAAATGTGGAAGCTCAATACCTTCATCAAAACAACCATAAATCGCTCATGTGCAAATTCAAGTTGAAGAAAATTTTTAAAAAGTCCATGAGAGCCAAAATACAACTTTGATTATATCCCACCTGAATTTAGAGACCATCTAAAGAACAGACTTGACACATTGAACACCAATGACTGAAGATCAGATGAGTAGTAGAATGACATCAAGAACAACATACATGAAGAAAGTAAAAGGTTATTAAAAGGACTAGAAAGGAAGAAAATACCAAAATGGATGTCAGAAGAGTTTCTGAAACTTCCTTTGAATAGAGAGTAGCTAAAGCAAAGGGAAGAAATGACAAGATAAAAAAGCTGAACAGAAGATTTCAAAGGGCAGCTCAAGAACACAAAGTAAAGTATTATAATGAACTGTGCAAAACCTTGGAGTTAGAAAACCAAAAGGGAAGAACGCACTCAGCATTTCTCAAGCTGAAATAACTAAAGAAAAATTTCAAGCCTCGAGTTGCAATATTGAAGGAGTCTACTGGCAAAATATTGAATGATGCAGGAAGCATCAAAAGAAGATGGAAGGAATACACAGAGTTGCTGTACCAAAAAGAATTGGTCAATGTTCATCTATTTGGGAAGATGGCATATGATCAAGAACCAATGGTATTGAAGGAAGAAGTTGAAGCTGTACTGAGGGAATTGGTGAAGACAAGCCTCCAGGAATTGACAGAACACCCACTGACATGTGTCAACAAATGGATGCAGCACTGCAGGCACTTATTGGTTTATGCCAAGAAATTTGGAAGACAGCTACCTGGCCAACCAACTCTAAGAGACCCATGTTTGTGCCCATTCCAATGAAAGGTGATCCACAGAATGTGGAAATTACCAAACAATATCATTAATATCACATACAAGTAAAATTTTGCTGAAGATAATTTAAAATGATTACAGTAGTATATTGACAAGGAACTGCCAGAAATGCAAGCTGGATTCAGAAGAGAACATGGAATGAGAGATATCATTGCAGATGTCACATGGATCTTGGCTGCAAGTAAAGAATACCAGAGAGATGTTTACCATGTTTACTTGTGTTTTATTGACCATGTGAGGGCATTTGACTGCATGGATCATAACAAATTATAGATGTTATTGCAAAGAATGGGAACTCCAGAACACTTAATTGTGCTCATGTACATAAATAAAAGTCTGTCATTTGTCAACAGACCAATGACATAGTCCATGGTTTAAAATCAGGAAGACTGTACATCAGGGTTGTATCCTTTCACTATACTTGCTCTGGTAGCATAGTGCCTAAGGCACTTGACTGCTAATCAGAAGGCTGGCGGTTCAAACCCACCAGCCACTCCTCGGAAGGAAGGTTGAGCAATCTACTTCCGTAGTGACACTGCCTCAGCAACCCAAGGAGGGGTTTGCTGACTCGAAGGCACATAAGAACAACAACAACTCAATCAGTATGCTGACCTACATGAAGAAGAATGAGGCATCAGGATTGGGGGAAGACTCGTTAACAACCTGCAATAGGCAGATGACACAACCTTGGTTGCTGAAAGTGGAGATGACTTGAAGCACTTCCTGATGAAGATCAAAGACTACAGTCTTCAGTATGGATTACACCTCAACATGAAGAAAACAAAAGTCCTTACCACTGGACCAATAAGCAACATCACAACAAGTGGAGAAAAGATTGAAGTTGTTGGGATTTCATTTTACTTGGATCCACAATCAACACCCATGGAAGCAGCAGTCAAGAAATCAGACATTGTATTGCACTGGGCAAATCTTCTGCAAAAGACCTCTTTAAAGTGTTAAGAAACAAAGATATCACTTTGAAGACTAAGATATGCCTAACTCAAGTCATGGTATTTTCAATTGCCTCATACACGCATGAAAGCTGGACAATGAACAAAGAAGAACAAAGAAGAGTTGATGTCTTTGATGCCTTTGAAGAGTTGATACCATGGACTGCCAGAAGAATGAACAAATCTGTTCTGGAAGAAGTGTATCCAGAATGCTCCTTATAGACAAGAACAGCTAGATTTTGTCTCACTTACTTTGGTCATGCTGTCAGAAAGGACGATTCCCTGGAGAAAGATACCATACTTGATAAAGTACATGGTCAGCAAAAAAAAGGGGAAGACCAATGAGATGGATTGACACAGTGGTTGCAACAATGGGCTCAAGCATAGCAAAAATTGTGTGGATGATCTAGGACTGGGCAGTGTTTCATTCTTTTGTACACAGGGTGGCTATTAGTTGGATGTGACTTGATGGTACTTAAAAACAACAACAACAATAACAATATTTATATAGCACTTTTAATGTGTAAGGACCAAAAAAGAAAGTTTTTCACATGTATCAACTTGCTTAATCCTCAGAACAGTCTTACAGGATAGTTACTATTATTATTCCCTCTTACAGGTAAGAAACAGAGACACAGAAATGAAATAGAGATTTACAACCTGCAATTTCTAACAGTGACAGAATGCTACAGGATTTATAGTTACCAAATGCTTGAAATTTAGTTTAATTTAATATC